GGATACCTTCACCACTATTTTAACAAAAGTGTAATACAACCCACACTTCTGCTGATACTGGGATAATAACGTAGAAGACCTCTGTACAAGCTGGAAGTGTCCTTGTTTTACTGGATGCAGCTATGGTGAAGTGACACTTGTTTTTTACGTAACATACTAGATAGAACTCACACATCCAAACAAAAGAAGCTATAATTTACAAGCAGTGACAGCACACTCCAAAAATATAGCCGTTGCTCAAAACATTTGTGCAACAGTCTTCTGTCTGCATCAAAAAGCCTCATTGTTTTATTTATTGCTCTTTTTAAATTTTTTAACCAAAAAGGATATATCCCTAACCTTTTCTCTTTATTCATCATACTTGGCACTCAAAGCCTTAGAGGCTTTTGACCACCCAGGTGCCTCCAGGTGCCCTGCCAAGCCACTGCTCTGAGAAAGCAACCCCACCCCCAGATAGTGAGAATCTGACTTCAGATGAATGCAATACACAGGCAGAGAACTGGTCAGGGGCTGGGAGGCTCTTGAGATTTGGAGAAATCTTAAGCAAATTAGTCCTCAGACAGCATCAGGCTGGCAGGTACAGATGCAGTATTTGATACTTGTCTACCAGATGGGGAAGGTGGAGGAGGAGAGGAAGGGATGAGAATGCATGTCAGCAATGGCTAAGAGCCAGATAGGCCCCAGAGATGCCTTACCCCTTCCCTGCCCTTTTCATGCATGTGGAAAAGAGAGTAAAAGTCATAAAGCCAGCAAGGAGCACACCTGGGCCTATCAGGGAGAAATCAGAGGGAGGGCAGGCAGAGCTGGGAAGAATGGGTGTGGTGGTAGGCACCATCAGTTTAGTCTAAAAGAAGAAAAGACTGAGGGCAGAGGCTCCAGGAAGGTTAACGGGGAGAATTTGATGTAGCCACTGAGACAGCAGTGTGCCCTGTCACCTTGTGGCTTATCCAGAGGCAGGATGAGCCCCAGGTATGCTGGAAGCCTGCAGCAATGAAATGGTGCCTGCCTCCTGCCCCTGCTCTTCCTGCAGCTGTCTCTGAACACCCCTCCTCTTCAAGGTGTCCACTCCCAGAAGAATGACTCACTACCTGGGTCACACACAGTAGGGGCATGTCTACAGCCATAAATCCGGCAGCCTCCTCTGGAGGAGACTCATCCTGACGGAAGCAGCTCTGCCTGCGGGCCTGGGCTTGCTACTCTTTTGAGCCAGGAAGGGGAGAGGCCAGCTGGCCAGGGGGTAGTCATCTCTCCCCTTCACAGAACTCAAGCTGTGGCATACTCTCATGGAGAAGAAAGTACAGAGATTGCACTTTGGTAGGGCCACAAAGGATACAGTCTTGGGAGGCTTAATAGAGGAAATATTAAATCAATAAAACCTTATTTCCAAGTTCGGTTTAGCAGCAGAATCCATTAACCTTATATTCACCCTCTCCTTTCCTCTTATAATACTGGGGAAGGGTTCAAAGGCATGATAACTTATCCTCAGGGTCAGCGCGTTCTATTCAATTACTGGGATTCGAGTTTTCAAGCTAAAAGATATATACTCATTTTGATTGTAAAGAACAAACCCAAAAAGAATGCTTCTTTCTTTTCATTTTGCAGAAAACGCCACACCAACACAACCATGGGTATTTAGCTCTGCTGAAACAGATGAGGGGAGTAAGGCTGAGAGAGGAGCTCAAATCAGTTCTGATTTTTCTCTTCATAAAAGAATTTCTAGCAAATCAAGAGCAAAGTTGGATCTGATTGCCTCTGGAACTAAGGCCACTCAATGTGGGCTTCCTCACTCAGTCTTGTCCCCAGGCCAGAGCAAAGCAAAACTCAGTCTCATTTATTTTGTCACCTAAATCGTCAAAACCTAAAATAAAACCTGGTGCAACTGCAGAAACACGGTGCTCTAGGGAGCAGTGGGGCAAGTCATTCCCACCAGCCAGCCCTCTGGATGGATAATTGTAAAGTGCTGACCTCTCTGGTGAGATACTAATGGTCAAGGGCTGGGCTGGGCAAGAGGCTGGGTAGGGCGGGCCAGGCTGGGCTGGACTGGACAGGGCAGGGCAGCCTGAGCTCGGATAATCAGATGCAGCTCCCATTAAACCTTCAGTGTGAGAGCAGCATAGCATCCTGATGCCGTTGCCATGGCATTTTCTCTCTCCTGGTGTCGGACCCAGGCCAGGATGCCCTGAAGCCTTGATGCTGACAGCAGTGATAGTGCTGGCTCTGAGCATGATTTTCTGCCCACCCACCCTCCTGTGCTCTCTGAAACCTAAGGCAGCCCTGTTTAGAAGAGCCTCGCAATCCAGTGGCTTGGCTTTTTGGCTGCCGCTTTCTACACTTTGATGTTAAATATAGTGACTTCAGAAGCAGCCAACACCAGAAGGCAAAAGAGGGCTGGTTTTAGCATTTTGCATTCAGCAACATCCTTTTAGTGAGAATGGAGAAGAAAACAGCCAGATCATCTACCTCCCCAATCATTAAGAGTGTCGGGGTTGGGTGCGGTGGCTCACGCCTGTAATCCCAACACTTTGGGAGGCTGAGGCAGGTGGATCATGAGGTCAAGAGATCGAGACCATCCTGGTCAACAGGGTGAAACCCCGTCTCTACTAAAAATACAAAAATTAACCAGGCATGGTGGCACATACCTGTAATCCCAGCTACTTGGGAGGCTGAGGTTGCAGTGAGCTGATATCACACCATTGCACTCCAGCCTATGCCATGGAGCGAGACTCTGTATCAAATAATGATAATAATAATCCCTGATTTCTACCCCATACCATTCAAAGTAGAACCTCTGAGGCATGAGGCTCAGGTATTGGCGTGCTCTAGCAGCTCCTAGGTCGTTCTCATGTGCAACCAGGGCTGAGATCCACAGCTTAGAGGAAGGGATGCTAACATGGTCATTCATCTGGTGTAAGTATTGCACTGCTGCCGAGTGCTGGGTACTGGGGACATAATGGAAGGCAAGACAGACCTAGTCCTTGCCCTCACAGAGCTCACAGCCCAGAGGGGGAAGGGAGTCAGGTGACCCTGGTTCTAGTCCTGTCTCTGCCACTGATGATCCTGAGCTCCTGTACTTTTTCCTTTTCTTCTGCAGGCCCTAAGTTTCCTGTCAAAGGATGTTACAGACCCAAATGATCTCTGATCCCCACTCTGCTACTTCCCAACTCAACAGTCCATTGACCTATGTATAATTTTTCTGTCTTTTTTGGTGGTTGTTTTAAAAATACACATAACATTCAATTTACCATTTTAACCATTAAAAAAAATTTTTTTTTTCGAGACAGAGTCTCTCTGTGTCACTCATATTGGAGTGCAGTGGTGCGATCTTGGCTCACCGAAACCTCCGCCTCCTGGGTTTGAGGGATTCTCCTGCCTCAGCCTCCCAAGTAGCTGGGACTACAGGCACATGCCCGGCTAATTTTTTGTATTTTTAGTAGACACAGGATTTCATAGTGTTAGCCAGCATGGTCTCGATCTCCTGCCCTTGTGATCTGCCTGCCTCAGCCTCCCAAAGTGCTGGGATTACAGATGTGAGCCACCGAACCTGCCCCCCCAAAATTTTTTTTTAAGAAACAGGGTCTTACTCTGTCACCTAGGCGGGAATGCAGTGGTGCAATCATATCTCACTGCAGCCTCAAACTCCTGGACTAGGCGCAAGCCACTATGCTCAGCTAATTTTTAAATATTTTGTAGAGACAGCATCTTGCTCTGTTGCCCAGGTTGTTCTCAAATCCTGGCTTCAAGCAACTCTCCTGCCTCAGCCTCCCAAAGTTCTGAGATTACAGGTGTGAGCCATCTCGCCTGGCCCATATTAACCATTTTAAAGTGTACAGTTCAGTGGCATTAAGCACGTTCACATTGTGTGCAACCATCAACACTATCCATCTCCAGAACTCTCATTTTCCCCAAACTGAAATTCTGTGTTCATTAAATAATAACTCCCCATTCCCCCTACACCCCCTCAACAGCCTCTGGCAACCACCATTCTACTTTCTCTCTCTAAATTTGACTACTCTATGTACCTCATATGAGTAGAATTGTCTAGTATTTGTCTTTGAGAATGGCGTATTTCACTGAGCGCAAGGCCCTCAAGGTTCAGCCATATTGTGCATGCAATAGGATTTCCTTCCTTTTTAAGACTGAATAATATTCCATTATATGTGTATCCAATTTGCTTATCCATTCATTAGTTGATGGCCACAGGCTGTTTACACCTTTTGGCTGTTGTGACTAATGCTGCTATGAACATGACTCTGTAAATATCTCCTCAAGGCCCTGCTTTTAATTCTTTTGGGTATATACTCAGAAGTGGAATTGCTAGATCATAGGGTAATTCTATGTTTTAACTACCATACTGTTTTCCACAGCAGCTGTACCATTTTACATTCCCACCAAAAGTGTAAAAGCGTTCCAATTTGTCTATATCCTTGCCAATACTTGTTATTTTCTATTTTTTGATAGCAGCCATCCTAATGGGTGTGAGGTGATACTGCAATTGATTTTTAATAATCCCAATAGCAAATGCCTGTATAGTACTGACTCTGTGCTAGGGTCTGTTCTAAGTGTTTCATGTATATCATCAGCCCATTTAATTTTCATAACAAATGTATCAGGTAAGTACTGTTGTTTTCACTAGCTTTGGCACCTAGAAGTTAAATCATTTGCTCAAGACCATACAACTAGTAAGTAACAGAGCCTGTATTTGACTCTACGGGCTCACAAACCTAACATCCTCATGTTTGGGGTGATTTTTGATGGCTTAGGCCTGTCATAAGCTTTTCAGTCTAGAGTTTGGTGAATGAAGAACCTAGTTATAACACCAGCCCTCAGGCCAGGACCTCTCCCCGGATGTTCTCTTGTGATAGCAGCACCCCTAGAACGGCTCTGTTGGCTCAGCCATCTGTTTGGGAGGAGAATGTGGTGGTTCTGGTCTCTTCCTATTTCCTGCCAAGGCTCGCTTATTCCAGGAGAAATGTAAACCCATTTTCTCTCTGATTTCACAGAAAAGGCAACAGATGGCTCCCTGCAAAGTGAGGATTGGACGTTGAATATGGAGATCTGTGATATCATCAATGAGACGGAGGAAGGGTACGTGTGCCCCCCCTCTCCTGGGAAGCCTCTCTCAGCTTTTAGGGGTCACTCAAAGCTTGTCAGGGCCTAAGGGTGGCAGGTTTCATTTTTCGTTTTGTTTTTAGTCTGTTTGCTTTGGCATTAATAAGCTGACACTGAATTATCTGTCCTTTTTGTCTTCATCCCTCCCCCACTTGCCCAATGGCAGTGCTGGAGGTAGAGCAGGGAAGACCTCTGTTAATCACCTGCTTTTAATCACAAGTGGAAATGAAGCTGCTTGATTACTTGGTTCCCAGTGGCCATTAGTCTCTGCGCCCGAATGTCACCTCTTCCCTCCCCTTCTCCCTGGCCTCTGCCTCTCCTTCGCAGCCTGTCTCTGCCCTGGTTTGCCAGGAGTCAGCACCACAGTGTCCGTGGAGGGAGGTCTAGGGCATGGAGCAGACACAGCTGGGAGTGGGAAAGTGACGTGAATGTACTTAGCCCACGTTGCCCCTCCTGCATTTCTGCACTGCTGGATGCATTCTTGTTATTATTTCCTGTATCTTCTTCTGCTTTATAGATGTACTCTGTTTGTACTTCTTCCAAATTGGTCTGTATTTAGCCCTACGTCCCTACCACGAACACTTGTTTTACTGTAACCATGCCCTCTTAAACAATTTTCAGAGTGGCAAGGAGGGCAGCTGGGACTCAGGCATCCCTGGGCTGGCATCTCAGCACTGTCACTCTAGCCTTGCCATGTGCAAACTGGGGACCAGCCCCTTGAGCTTGGTCCTGCTTTTATGCCACAAATATTTCTTGAGTGACTACCTTATACCAGGCCCTATTATAAATACTGAGGACACAGCAGTGAACAAGACAGACTCCTTCCACTTGGGGAGCTGCCAATCTAGAGTTGGGAGGCAGGCCGTAAACAAGATAATTAAACATATAACCTGTTCAGGTGAGGACAAGACTGTGGAAGGGAGATGGGAAGAGAGGAGGATGGGAAGAAAGGAGGCTGGTCATGACAATGACCCCTCGACAGCTTCTCTTTGAGCTCTTCAACCCCGCTAATCTTTCAGCTCCTTGAATTTTCCACGTTCCTGGTCCCAGCTTGAAATTCTCCACAAATTTGAGCAATACACAAAAATGTTGGCAACTCTTATTTTCCAGTGAATTGCTCAAACATCTCTATGGTTTGAGGGCAGGAAGCCCAGGAACCCCGAGAGCGTCCTCATTCTGAAGGGGCTAATGCCTTCTTTTTCAAACCCTCAGCTCCCAGAAGGCTGGTCACACACATCTTCCTCTTCAAGTGGCCCAAGCTCCTGTTGCTCCCTTTTTGAGTGAGAGCACCTCAGTGATTCCTGATAATATTCTCTCCTTGCCTTTGCTGTGAGGTGTCTCAAAACATCTTCCTACCTGGATGCACTGGCTCATGCCTGTAGTCCCAGCTATTCAGGAGGCTGAGGTGGGAGGATTGCTTGAGGCCAGGAGTTTGAGACCAGCCTAGAAAATGTAGTGAGACCCCATATCTTAAAAAAAAAAAATTCCTCCTAAGTGGGAGAAACTCCTACAAGTTGGACTGACAGTAGGTTACCCCACCTACACCTTTGTGCCTTCCCTGAAGGGCGTCTGACCTACTGTCCCTTCTGTTCCCATCACCTTTCTAAGTAGATCCTATCATTCACTGGATCTGTTTGAATCTCATTTTTCTAACTCCCTTCTCTCCTGAATTGAACAAGTCCTCTATTACATGATTTCATAAGCTGTGTTGTACTGATGCCCATCACAGTTTAAGCTTATAAATCTGTGGGACAGTTATTAGTGTCTGTCTTGCCCTGCAACCCCCATGAGGCTGTGAGCTCCAGGAGAATTTCCATCTGTTTTGCTCACCATTTCGTCCCTAGTACCTAGCACAATGCATGTGATTAGCTCTTGATAAATATGTGTTAAATAAATGAATAAATGAATGAAGTCTCTAAGGCACTCATAGTCTGATGAGGAATGCAGGCATAAAAACATAAGCGTAACACAGCATGATGAGTGCTGGGTGCGGGGAGGGAGAAAGAGAGAGAGAAGCTATATATAGCTACAGAGACTAGTGCAGTGGTAGTGGGCAGCCTTGGGACTTTGGGCAGCAAAGCCTTCTTGGAGGAGGTGACATCAGACTGGAGTCTTACAGGGTGCCAGGGTATTAGCCAGATGAGGCAGGTAGAGGAAGGGGAGGAAACGGAAACCCCAGGCTGAAGCAATCTTAGGTCACCACTCACTTGCTGTGCGACCCTGTGTGAGCTACTCATCTCTCTGTGTCTGTGTCTCATTTCCTCATTTATAAAATGGAATTGCCAATAATACCTGTCTCATAGGGTTGTTATAAGGATTAAAGGGGTAAATATATATGAAGTATCTGGCTATATAACTGTATCTTCATATCCTTACTATATATATGGATTTACTATTTCCCTTTAAAGATTTCCATTGCCCATGACTTTTGTCATCATTCACTTGGGTGTCAGTTATCTGCCCAGTCTTGGTGATGATCTCTGTGGATTCACTGCCCTTACCCTGTCTGCCATCTCTGAGCACTTGCCACGTGCCAGGCCCTGTGTCCAGCCATGCCATACGTCATCACAAGCAGCGCCCCCCAGCCCCAACAGCTCTATATGGTAATGACAGCCAGTTTCAGTGTTAAGGAAACTTAGGCCACGTAGTTTGGGCACTTGCCAAAGGCCTTGCAGCACAGCTCGGAAGGGCACTTGCAGGATGCGGGCACAGGCTCACCTGGCCGCAGCCGCTGAAGTGCTGCCTGTACGCCTTGTGTTTGTGCGGTGCTTTACCAATGGGAGGCTGTGGTCCTAGTGGGTGCAGATTGGTAAACTACCCAGAGGCCTCTCCTTAGCCTTTCCCTAATGTCCAGGGCTGAGGTCACCATCAGCCTGAGGAATGCTGGTGCTTAAGGCCTTGTGTGACAGTCCCTCAGACATTAACCAGGAGTGGCTGACTGAATAACCTACCTGGGACTGTTTTTATTTATTTTTTATTTATTTATTTTATTTTTTTGAGACAGAGTTTTGCTCTTGTCACCCAGGCTGGAGTGCAAAGGCGCGATCTCAGCTTACTGCAACCACCACTTTCCAGGCACAAGCAATTCTCCTGCCTCACCCTCTGTAGTAGCTGGGATTACAGGTGTGCACCACCACACCTGGCTAATAAGTGTATTTTTAGTAGAGACGGGGTTTCACCATGTTGGCCAGGCTGGTCTTGAACTCTTGACCTCAGGTAATCCGCCCACTTTGGCCTCCCAAAGTGCTGGAATTATAGGCTTGAGCCACAGTGCTCGGACTGGGACTGTTTTAGACTGTTTTCCTGGCCTCACCCCAGACCTGCCCAATTAAGGCACAGCTTGTGGATTTGGGAATTGCACTCCAGGTGACTCTGATGTGCAGCTCTCATGAGGACCCACTGACCTGGGTTATTTTCATGGCCATCTCTGGACCCTCCTCAGCCACAGAATCTTTGTCATGTTCTACCTTCTAAGCTGGAAAGGGCACAGAGGAGGAACTGAAGACATGCAATAGAGCAAGGTAATAACTAGGGAGGGGGTGTTCAGGGTGATGAAAGAGGGGCAGCAGTGTCCCCCTTGAGGGTGATGAGGTGAAAGCTTTTCCAGAGAGTAGTTCTGAAGGTGAAGGACAAAGAGATATAAAGGCCGTGGCTGGAGGCATGACAGGAAGCTTGTTTGGGGATCAGGAAAGAGTTCTTGTAAGTCTAGGGTCCAGGGAGACTTTGAGGAGCCTGATCGTGGCCCAGAGGCCAGATCATGAGGCTGTGAGCACTGCCTGAGGAGCCGGACTTTTCCCCTGAAGGCTGCTAGGGCTTGGTGCCATGTCAACACAGGCCACCGATTCTTCCCGATCCTTTCTTTCTGCTCCATCTGGCTCTTGACACACGCTTCTCTCTCTTCTCCTGGTTTCCAACTCCACACTATCTAATCTGCTGCAGCTTCTTGAAACTTTGTGATTCCTTTGACATGACTTTGATCCTTCTCTCTGAAGCTTCTCCCCCGGGGAGAGAGATAAATACTTGCTTTTGTGCTCACCCATCACTCTCAGCCAGTACTTCCCACAGCCTGTGGATGAATTTCCATTTTAAACCTCACCCAGGAGCCTGCTGACTGTCTGATTTCCCACCCCGTGGCCCCCACACCAGGAGAGCCCTGAATGTGCTGGTGCTCTGCCAGCCAGAAGTGATCGTGGCCCTCAGGTGCTCTTCCTATTTTCCCGTTCCATGGAAGTTCAAGAGGACAGAAGAGACACAGGACTGAGGGGTGTGGCGGCTGTGGGTCAGGGACAACAGTGATTTGGCAGAGCCTTGGAGAGAGGAAATCAGTCCATGCTCTTGGCCAGTAGCCACTGAATTTCATCAGCTCTCAGGCTACAAACAGCCCTCAACGCAGAGAGCTGGTTAAGTCCCATATTTGCAGAAATCAGCATCCCCTTTTGGAAATGGCAGCTGTACTGCAGACATACTTGGCTCTGGGCCCAGTCCCCATGGAGCCTTATGTCTCATCTGCCCTTTGACCCAGGGGCCAAGAATTCCTGCAAGGCAGCCATATGTCAAGCTGGGAATGGGAAACAGGTGATTCAGGGTATTTTAAAAATTTCTTCCAAAGCTTTGCTCCTTTCACCTTTTTTTAATTTTTATTTTTGAGATGCAATCTCATTCTGTCAACCTGGCTGGAGTGCAGTGGCATGATCTCGGCTCACTGCAATCTCCACTTCTCAGGTTCAAGTGATTCTCTTACCTTTGCCTCCAGAGTAGCAGGAATTACAAGCACATACCACCATGCCCAGCTAATTTTTTTGTATTTTTGTAGAGAAAGGGTTTCACCATGTTGCCCAGGCTGGTCTTGAACACATGACCTCAAGCGATCTACTTGCCTTGGCCTCCCAAAGTGCTGGGATTACAGGCATGAGCCACCATGCTTGGCCCACTTTCTCTTAAATTAAGCTGATTAGCAGAGCATCTATTCTTTCCCTTCCTCAACTTCCTCATATACATTTGAAGGGGCCCTTTCATTTGGTAAATAGAGTATAAATATTTTAAAACTGTAGGAATAGGAGATCCCTGACGTACAAACATTCAAGCTGGGAAATACCAGTGTATTGGCATATGGATTAGTGGAAGGCTGGAATCCATGTGTGATAGCAAAGGGCTGATCCACAGCCAGACTAAGGGCTTCCCAGGGCATAGGGTGATGGGTCAGCACAGGGACTTTGTGCCAGGGGCAGCTTCTAGACCCACAGCTTTGTTGAATCCTGAGTTAGAATAAATTAAATAATATGTTAGACATAAGACCTACTTGTAATATGTATACTTACAGGGCTGGCTGAGGATCCTAACTCTAAGGTATAACAGTAATTAAGGGAGAACTCACTCCAACTTCCATACAACTTCACTCCAACTTTTGGACATGGCCCATTTGTGAATTGAGTATTGCCTATAATTCTACAAGATTTTCTCTAGGGATCTACCTCAGATCTGTCACCTAAAAGCACAAAACTTGTTGGGTTTTAAGGAGACTCACTTAAGCTTTCTCTGGGAAAAAGAGTTCCATGGAATTTAGGAAGAGAGGGACATCCAGGCCTCACAAGTACCTGGCACTGTCTCTTCTGTGTCTCTCTTATGGTTTCTCTGGAAAAACTCTCTTCTATGTGCCCACACACCAGTGGGTTAGTTATGGTTTTGAATAAATAATACTTGCAAGTGACGCAGAATTCAAAAGGTCTGCAGAAAGGCAGTCCAGTGAAAAACCTCCCTCCCACCTTTGGTTCCCTTCCTTAGGGGCAGCCACAGTTACCAGGTTGTTGTAGCTCCTTCTAGAGATTCTCTTCCCTATGCTGGCTTGTGTGCTATGTATACTTCCCTTCTATAACTCAACTAATAGCAAACGTTGTACACTGTTATGCGAAGAACTTTGTGCACATGTCTTTGAGTTTGGTCCATATTGGTGCAAGAGTTTCTTTTTTTTTTTTTTTTTTTTTTTTTT